ACTTGGCCAGTGATGTTTCTCAGCCAAGTTAAAGTAAACCACCATCATGATGGTGATTTTTATGCAGAAGGAAACTGCAGCGATCACTTATACCCCTGATGTTGGTCCATCTGATCCAACCTGATCAGAACCTTGTGACTAATGTCTCTTATCACAGCTGATAAACTCAAACATTTCACTAAATCTTAACATGTTTTTGATTTGTCCAGTACAAAAAACAAATTAGCCAAAAAAAAACCATCTAGGGGAACAGTTTTGTGTTTTTGATTTGTCCAGTACAAAAAAAACCATCTAGGGGAACAGTTTTACCCAGTGGAACCAAACAAAAGAACATTCAAATGACATTAATATTTAAAAAAAGAATTCTTATGTTCAGTCAATGGAAATAAACCCATTATCTATGAGCTTTGAAACAAACACAAATACACAAGACATCGCCCGCATGCTTTGCTACTCACACACCCACACACACACCCCACAGGCACAGACAGTTATGCAGGTTATGTAAGAACAGATTCAGTTGCTGTGTCACTCAGACCACAACAACAGAGAGAGAGAAAGATAACTGATTCATCTGGAAAAGCACAAGAACACACAGCAAAGAGAGGGCTGATAGACAAATGTGTCTGCTCTGTCACTCATAAGTCGACTAATACATAAAATGGAACCAAAAACGAGAATGGAAGGAAAGAGGGAACGAAGTTTAAAAGTGTAGAAGAATGAATACAGTGAAAGAGGAAAGCGGTGAGAGAGACATAACAGCAGTCAGTGTGTTATCAAACCAACAGCCACAGGGAGGAAACCACACTGGATTACAGTTATTTAACTCTGCACACACACACCACAGTAACGTATCACTAAGGCGTTGTGATAAGACATGTCTGTTGTGTGTTTTACAGTTTGTTTTGCAGCCTCTTTACAAAGAGCTGTCACTCAGTTCACGGCCATAAACAATCCCAACATCACGCCACTCACTGTTCAGGTCACGTATTCATCCACATTAGCTCAATAAATATTTGCTCCAGTTGCATTTTCTCTCGCAGTAAAACCTGAAAATGCTTTCTACATGTGAAAACAACTCTGGTGTCTTCCGGCCTGTTCTGTGAAGATAATCTTATTCTCCCTAAATGGCAAAACACCCGAAAATCATTCCTTCTTCTTCTTCGCTCTATTTCAGATGGCACCAGTAACACTGTTCATTCTCGCCATGTGTTCAGCAGTGCACTCACCAAACTCTTTCACTCAGTCATGTACTGTGTATAATTCTAAGTTTCTGTTGTCACACAACTGAACAGGTTTTGAATCATGATCTGATCACAGCTCACAGATGCTAC